TAAACTATAACCCAGAAGAATGGAGATTGTTTATAGACAGTTCAACATTGAGTTTAAAGGCAGTGTTATTGCATATTGGAAACATTTTACCATCTCTTCCTGTAGGGTATGCAGTTCACATGAAAGAATCATATGACAATATGAAGTACCTATTGACATGCATAAAATACGATGAGCACCAATGGCATATTTGTGGCGATTTGAAAGTTATTGCACTTTTACTTGGGCTGCAGCTAGGCTACACAAAGTTTTGCTGTTTTTTGTGTGAATGGGACAGTCGGGCAAAGGCACTTCATTACACCAGACAAAACTGGCCTGTTCGTCAATTCCTAGAGCCAGGACAAAAAAATGTACAGCATATGCCATTAGTAGATTCGAAAAAAATTTTATTACCACCACTGCATATCAAGTTGGGCCTAATGAAAAACTTTGTCAAGGCATTAGATAGAGATGGGTCAGCTTTTCAATACCTGCGTTAGAAATTTCCAAGACTAAGTGAGGCAAAGGTTAAAGAAGGTATTTTTGTTGGGCCACAGATTCGAAATATTTTGAAAGATACACAGGTTGAAAACACTTTAACAGGTATTGAACAAACTGCTTGGAATGATTTCCGTCTGGTGGTCACTAATTTCTTGGGAAATAGAAAAGCTGACAACTATAAAACCCTTGTCAAAAATATGCTGTCATCGTATCAAAAGATGTCTCTTAAGATACATTTCCTACACTCACACCTGGACTTTTTTCCTGACAATTGCGTAGCCGTAAGTGATGAGCACGGCGAACGTTTTCATCAGGATATTTCAACAATGGAAAAAAGGTACCAGGGAAAGTGGAATCCTTCCATGCTTGCAGACTACTGTTGGACTCTTGGTAGAGATGCTCCAGAAACGATCCATAAAAGAACAGCAAAAAGACAGCGCATATAGTGATTCTTATAAGTATATGAATCTTGTTACTTTTTTTAATATGTCCTTAAAAATAAAAAGTTTTTTTTCTAAACCGCAACTAATTTTTTTATTTCATTGTCATTTTTGGATTCAGCGCCCCAAAATTAACAAAGAAGCGCACTTTTCCCACAAGATACAATTAAAAAACTAAAATATGTTGTCCAGTGAATTAAACATATTAAAGAACAAAATTGCTGCACAAGAGTGCGTCCTTTTTGGGTTTATAAGCGTTGTATAAAAGTTTTTAGAACATTTATAACGGCACTGTTATTTTATGAAAATAATTCTGTGAACGTTGATAGGCCATTCAGAACACCTAAATTGGGTTATAAAGGAGTTTCGTGGAAGAACCATGGTACCTAGTAATCCGCACCTCTACTTCAACACGGCACTCGTGTTCTTTCTTCATCCATCTGGAAACAGTATCACCCTATTGATTCAAAAAAAAACACCACTTAAGAAATATACACGCCTAGGCAAACCTCTATAACGCAGTTTTCACGGTACCTACCAATTCGCACCCCCTCTTTCATCTGGTATCATCCCCGTTCTGTTTATCCCCTATTTGGGAGCATTATCGCCCGGTTGAGTGTGCATCTGTTCCCTGGTGACCCTGTCGGGGTCAAAGTCCGGCCAATCAAAGAGGCCGTACTGCGGCGGCAGTGCGGCCGCAGAAGATACCGCCGCGTGCCGCCCGCCGCTGCAGACGACGACGTCGACGACGCGCCGCGAGACGCCAAAACGCGTCTGGACGCAAAAGCGGTGTTGCCATATCGTCGAAGTGATTTTTCACTAATGGAGGAATGACTGAAGTTTGAGGCATACCACACGGGGATTATGTAAAAAAACCTATAAAATGTCATCTCTAGGTAAGTTTTTAGGATGCAAACAGTCATCCCACGTTTGCTCACCAGGATCGTTGTGAGCGTCCATCTATGGAGGAATCACTCAACTACACGCATTGTGGGTTGCACATGTTTTGTGAAGCCGAGTAGTCTGTAGTTTTCATCTCTGAGAAGAAAGTTGTTGGTTGAATAACAAGATCGCATCTGGATGATCATGTGTATTGGTCTGCATGTGTATGAAATCAGCGATATTTGATGTGTGAGAACATCATTACTGAGTATGCTGCCAATAAAGTACAGTGAAAGGTTTCTGAACGGGCAGCTCTAATAAGCGACCATCTTCCTTAGGCGGTAAAATTTTTTGGAACTATACTAAGTGACATATAAGTCCGAACACCCAGTTTAAATGGTTTTATTTTAATAAAAGTTGGTGAATGTATTTATCATACTGTAAATAACAAGTGAAAAATTTTTCAGCCTTATCAGTTGGACATTCCGGTTTTTATACTGCTTTTTTTTAATTCACTAACGCTCTAAAAATGAATACTTCAGCCGCAGTAAAGAATCAACGTTGGCGGATTTTGGTTCTTGACATCCTTTACGATCGGTTACGATGCCTAGAGTACGGAGACCTGTACGATTTCGTCAACTTAGTGAGTTTGATAGGGGCCGTATAGTGGGACTTCGGGAAGCTGGACTTTCTTTTCGGGCAATTGCTGTTAGAGTGCAAAGAAGTGTAGACACTGTGGTTAGGTGTTGTCAGGCATGGCTTCGAGAAGGCCGTACGCAAAGAGCAAGGGGCACTGGACGCCGCCGTAGAACAACAGACCATGAAGATCGCCGCCTAAGATTATTGGCCTTAAGGGACCGTTTCTCCACTACCAGGTCCATTGCAAATGAATGGTTTGCAGAACACGGAAGACCTATTGGCATGCATTTACCGACTAATGAGAAGTTTTGGCTTGTTTTCATACCGGCCACACTGGGTCCTTCCTTTAACTCGAGAACACCGACGTAATCGCCTTGAGTGGTGCAGACAACGGTCACTCTGGGATCAGCAATGGAACAGTATTGTCTTTAGTGACGAGTCTCGATTTTGTTTAGGCATGCACGATGGTCGTGCCAGGGTTAGAAGGCGACGTGGTGAAAGGAGGAATCCACAGTTTTTTGTTGAAAGACATGTTCATCACACTGTTGGAGTTATGGTTTGGGGTGCTATAGCTTATGGTTCCAGGTCACCTTTAATCTTCATCAGAGGTAACATGAACGCGCAGCGTTATATCCACGAAGTTCTAGAACCCCATCTTTTACCCCATCTTGACACCCTGGCAGATCCAACTTTCCAACAAGATAATGCCCGACCACATGTTGCAAGAGTCACAATAGACTTCTTTCAACATAATGATGTCACATTGTTACCATGGCCACCAATATCTCCCGACTTATCCCCAATTGAGCACGTGTGGGATATGATGGGTAGGAGATTGCTCAATTTGCAACGTCCTCCTCAGACTCTAGAAGCACTTCGAGAGGAGTTGGTGGTTGCCTGGAATGAGATACCACAGGAGGACATTGACCACCTGATCAGAAGCATGCCTAGGCGCGTTGGAGAATGCGTAGCACATCAGGGTGCATCCACACATTATTAAAGGTCAAAGGGCTTTAAAGCAGTGCAATCATTTTGAAATTTCTATCATTTACTTATTATGCTTCATTAAGTAATTATACAAAATTTTATTAAAATAAAACCATTTAAACTGGGTGTTCGGATTTATATGTCACTTAGTATATATTTTAACATAGAAAGTACACTCCAGTAAGCGGGTACTCTAATAAACGGACGCGGGCAGCAGTTTTTGCACATAGGACGAAATAATATCTCCTATAAGCGATCGCGAAGCTCTAATGAAGCTGAACCATTACTTTAATATGGCCATTCGGTGATTCCTCGCGAGGTTTTGGGGGATTGACAGTATTACACGATCACAAGTTGTTGTGTTAGAGATTATAATGTAGAGTTAGCAGTTTAACAGTGTTAGTCTTGTTGTTTCAGTTTTAGTGTGCACTTTTAATTTATAATAATATGCCGCCGAAAAAGCGAATGCTGACGCTAAAAGAAAAGATGTAAATTGTGAATGTTATTGATAAGGAAACATTATCAAGTCGGGCTATAGGATTGCGATTTGATATAGGAAAGACACAAGCGACGGTGACTGCAAAAAATAAGGAGGATACCCGACGTTTGTGGCAGTCTGCAATAAATGAACAACAAAAAAGAAGTTTTTGTAGGACTGAAGGCTTAAACATCGATAAAGCATGTTTTGAGTGGTTTATTAGTGCTAGAAATCGAAGAATTCCCATATCCGGGGGGCTTGTAAGAGAAAAGGCAAAGGAAATTGCACAAAAATATGGTTATCAAAAGTTTAGTGCATCCGATGGGTGGCTTCAAAAGTGGCGTAAAAGAAGCAATGTTAGTTTTACATGCATTTCTGGTGAAGCGGCCGATGTAAATCAAGAGACAGTCGATGCATTTATAGAGAAACTTCCTTCATTGCTTTTGGGATACCAATGTGAAGACATTTAAAATGCCGACGAAAGTGGTCTGAAAAGTGTTCGGGGGGAAAATTATCGAAAGAAAGACTAAGCGTATTATTCTGTGTAAGCATGACTGGACAAAAAGAAAAACTGTTAGTGATTGGCAAATCTGCACGCCCTCGAGCATTAAGGATTTACCTGTTAGGTGGAAGTCAAATAAAAAAGCCTGGATGACACGCGAAATAATGGGTGAGTGGTTAGCCGAGTTCGATCGAAAAATGGGCATTAAAAATAGAAACATTCTGCTATTTTTAGACAATGCTGCATCTCATCCTCGAGACTTACATCTAAAAAATGATAAAATTATCTTTTTCCCTTCAAACACAACAAGCATGTGACAGCCACTGGATCAGGGCATCATTAAACATTTTAAGTTTTAGTATCGTAATAAGATTTTAAAACATTATTAAATATGGATAGTGCTAAATCATCCTCCGAATTATAAAAAAAAATTAATGTTTTGGAGGCATTATACTTTATAAAAACGGAATGGCAGAATATTAATGAGACAACGATACAAAATTGTTTCCGAAAATCTGCATTCAGAAAAGCTGGGCAAGAGGTTCCTTATTTTGATCCCGAAGATAACTTGCTATTATCTGTTTTCGCAACGATGGTCCGAGCTGAGGATGAGCTGAACATTACCAACGATCAAAATTTGGATGAATATGTTAGCATTGATCAAAACACTCCAACTGAAGGAGATGTTGAGCTTGAACATTTAGTCTTAGAACTAGGTGGTGAATCTAACCAAGAAAATGAGACGGATGATGAAATTGAGGAGATTCAAGAAGAGGAAAATAAAGTAAAATGCTACGATGAAGCCTTAATTTATGTGAAAGAACTGAAAAACTTCGCAAAAGATGACTATGCCTTTGAACAAATAAAAAATTTGGACTGTCATTTTCGGAAATGTCGTGATGATGCAAAGCAAAAAAAACTTAAGCAGGCGACTATTCTAACATTTATCCAAACTGTTTTAAATAAGTTTTCTGTCCTTTTGTTGTTATTTAAAAAATTCGTTTTCGCATGTCATCAATACATTTATGTATGTACGTATTTCATTATATATACATATATGCAATTATAAATTATAATTTTATGTACAATGTGTACATACATGTCTTATGATAAGACTTAATTTAATATATGTAATTACTATATTATACTTTATAAATGACAGAGAAGAAAGAGGAGGTGGAGTATGTTTTTACATCCAGACCAACATAAAATTTAAAGTTGTAGATTGTAACAACATTTCTTCAAATTGAACAAATGTGGTTATCGCTAAAACTAAATAATAAGACCATTGCGATAGGTGTTATCTATAGACCGCCATCTATTGCATTAAGTCTACTTTCTAGCCTTGAGAATAACCTTGCTTCTATATTCATTACCCATGATGAAGTTATACTGATGGGCGATGTGAATATTGACCTCACCGATAAGTCTTCCAATCCCAGTAAAAAAAATTTTCAAACCATGGCATTATTCAATCTCGTTCAGGTTATTAATGAACCCACAAGAATTACCAAGAATTCAGCTACAATGATTGATGTAATTTTTGTATCAAATACATTCCATGTGCGCAAGAGTGGCACTATAGGCATGGGATATATAACTGATCACAGGTTATGCTTCTGTGAATTGAAGATTGAAATTCCAGAATACACTCCTACAACATTTTATTGTCGTGACTTTTCCCACTTTAATTATGATGAATTTGCTGAGGATGCAACTGCTGTGAACTGGCATGATATAAATACAATCTACAAAGTCTTGATGATAAAGCCCTCCATCTTACTGAGAATATTACCTTGCTGTATGGCATACATGCTCCGATGAAAAGAATTACACCTCATAAGTTCTACAGGCCATACGTCACCTATACAATAAAATGTATAATAAATTTAAAACGAAAAGCTTACAATACATTCAAAAGAACTAGATCTGAAACAGATCGATTGTTTTATAAAGATCTTAGAAATTACTCAGGTGTGGCTTTAAGGAATGAAAAAACAGCTTATATAAAATATCAACTAAATAAGAACAGGAATAATCCCAAGCAACTATGGAAAGACTTCGCTAAATGGAATATTCATCAAAAATCCACTAATCAGATATCCCAGGGCATTGAAGACGCAGAAGCCATCAACAATCACTTTGTGAACTCGTTGCCAACCATTCAACCTGATGAGTTATTTCTTAACGCTTTATCTTGGCAGAAAAGTCACTCGTGACTAAAAGTTCGTTCCATCTAGTTACATCTGATGATACTGAAAAGAAACTGAGAGAAGTGAAATCAAATGCTGCTGGTATAGATGGTATTACCACAAGCATGCTGAAAAATCTTCTTTTTGCAAAAGTGAAATAACGAATATCATAAATCAATCCCTGAACACAGGAGAAGTAGCAACATTATGGAAGAAATCAGTTGTAACGCCACTAGCAAAAGTCAAATAACACTATACAGATGAAGGATTTGAGAGCAGTAAGCACCTTACCTGTGATGTCCAAGCTTGCAAAGAAAGTGGTAGCTGACCAACTTCGTGACCATCTAGAAGTAAATGAAGTCCTTCCCGATACACAGTCGGGATTCAGAAAACTGCATAACACATCCACAGCGCTTATAAAAGTAACTAGCGATATAGTCAAGTTCATGGATGATGGCATGGTGACCGTATTGGTGATGTTAGATTACAGTAAGGCATTTGACATGGTCAACCATGAAGTATTATGTAAAAAGCTACAATATTATGGTTTGTCCAGTAATGCCTTACTGTGGTTCAACAACTACCTGACTGGCAGATCCCAATACACAAAGATATTTAACAAAATTTCCACTTTACAAAATGTAGTTTCCGGTGTTCCGCAAGGAAGTGTATTAGGTCCATTACTATTTACATTCTATACATCTGATTTAATAAATTTTATATCACATGATTGGAATATACATCTATATGCTGATGATGTGCAAATGTATAAAGCTTGCAATCCAAATGAAGTTAATTTATTGATTAAAGAGTTAAATGTAAATCTAGAAATGATTGCAAACTATTCCAAAAATTTTTGTTTGAAACTGAATCCCACAAAAACTAAAGCTTGCTGCATTGGTTCTAGGTTAAATATTTCAAAATTTAAAGGATTGATGAGTACAGCCATTGTTTTAGGTGATACATCTGTTGAAATTGTAGAGGAGACTAAGAATTTAGGCATTTTGTTGGACACAAATTTAAGTTTTGAGAACCATGTCATTAATAAACTTCGAGTATGCTATTGTAAATACAAGTCACTTTGGAGATACAAACATGTTTTAACCAGCGATATAAAATTAAGGCTTACCAATGCACTAATCCTCACTCACCTAGACTATGGCGCTACAGTATATTATAATTTTCTGACGGAAGAAATGAAGCACAAAATTCAAGTATTACAAAACTGCTGCATGAGATTCTGTTTCAAAGATATACATATACAAGAACATATTACTGGATATTATGCAGTGGCGGCTCGTGAGGTAGTGCCACGGTGCCATGGCACTACCTTGTCTTCTTCAAAAAGAATATTTTTTTCAATCTTCAATGTTTTACTTTATTTTTTGCTTTTTCATTTTTTTTTTGGTATAAATTATATGAAGTGACAACACTGACAACGTGACAACACCGCAAGCACCCGAACCACGCGACGAGATATAAAGCATGCCTTGACCTTGACGTCATCAACTTGTGCCAATGTCGGGCCGGCCCAAATAAAAAGAGAGAAATTTTACCAGCATCGCATACGAGCGACAGAGATAACGCTACAATACACATTTTTATATGAGGTGAATAGCGAAAGACAAGTATAATTTGTGCCAGGCACATCATCAGTCGTAATTCGTTATCAAATGATATCGGCGGTGTTTTTGTTCGGTCGGTCGTTTCGTTATGATTACGTCTAGTGCTGATTTCGGTCTTTTTTTACCTGAAAAGTGAGAAATAACGTTTTTGTTTTAGTACGTCTAGTGTTAATGAACTGCTCTGTTTTGTGATCATATTTTTTACTGTTTTATTAAAACTAGTGAAAATGAATAAAATCGGGATATTAAAAAACTCATTTAGTGGTTTTTCGCTGGATCAAAAACTGCAAATTAAAGAATTAGGACGGCCAATACCCGATTTAAAAATTGAGAAACAAAGTGGTAGCGGACAAAAATCGCGCTGTCGCAAATTTAATAAAAATGTGTACGATAAAAACAGCTGGATATGTGGTTGTGAAGAAACGAATAAACTATTTTGTTTTGTATGTGTTCTATTTGGAGGTGACGAGACTTGGTCAAAAAAAGGTACAGATGATCTTATACATATATGGGATAAAATGAAGACCCACGAAAAATCTAAAGTCCATATGAATAATGTTTTTAGCTTTTCTATTCTTGGTAAATTAAATATAAGGACTCAACTCAATTCGGCTTATCGCAATGATCTAATTAAACATAATAATCAAGTGGATAAGAATCGATATGTATTGAATAAAATTATTAATTGTATAAGGTTTTGTGGAGCATTTGAGTTAGCCTTAAGGGGTCACGATGAAAAGGAAAATTCGGAAAACAGAGGCATATTTAAGGAGCTGGTGAATTTTAGCGCCGAATTAGACAACGAATTGAAAGTCCATATTCAAAGTGCCAAACTTTTCAAGGGTACCTCAAAAACAACTCAAAACGAGCTTCTTGAGTGCATGCTAGATGTTTATCATGAAGAAGTTAAGAAGGAGATTGCAAATTCTCCTTTTGTTGCAGTAATTGCCGATGAAACGACTGACGTAGCCTGTGAATTTCAGTTAGTTATTATTTTCAGATATTTGTGTAAAGGACAACCAGTTGAGAGATTTTGGAGATTTTACGTCCCCGACGGACACGATGCCAAATCAATCGCTGCATGCGTTTTAAATGTTGTAAATCCATTAATAGATCAAAATCCAAACAAATTAATAGCTCAAAGCTATGATGGTGCGTCTGTTATGAGTGGTGAATTGAATGGCGTTCAAAAGATTATTAAGGAAACTTATCCACTTGCAAATTATGTTCATTGCTATGCACACCAGTTAAATCTAATTATGACAAGCGCATGCTCTGTCAATAAGCAGGCTAGAATATTTTTCCATAATTTATCTGGATTGTGCTCTTTTTTTTCGACGTCTCCTCAAAGAACAAAAATTTTGGATGAAATAGTTAATCGCAGATTGCCAAGATCTTCCCAAACACGTTGGAATTTTCAGTCACGAGGTGTTCATACAGTTTATGAAAATAGGAAAGACCTGATTGAAGTTATGGACAATATAGAAAGTACTTCACGCGATTCTTCGTCGATTAATCAAGCCAGTGGGTACAAATTAAAGCTGCAAGATACAAATTTTGTATTTTGGCTAAGTATATTCCATAAAATAATGCCACATGTTGAAATTGTCTTTAACCAATTACAAAAAGTATGCACCGATTCTGTTAAGGTCAAAAATGATTTAGAGAATTTTGAAGCAGCAATTCAAACTATACGAGAACAAATGGATAGCATTATTGACGAGATTGAACGAGTGCAGAGAGAAACTGATGAACCGGCAAGAAAAAAAAGGCAAGTTGAAGAAGGCAGCAAAAAACGGGAAGCGTTAGAAATATGCGATGCAGTATTATCGCAAATAAGAACAAGATTTAACTTTTCTGGGCATTTAGTTGCTTCTAATTTATTTGTGTCTGAAAAGTTTTCTGTTTATAAACATCAGTTTCCTGAAGCACATTTAAATGACCCATGCACACAATTTTCATTTTTAGACAAAAACAGGCTTAAAACTGAGTTACAAGTATTATATCAGAGAGAAGAATTGAGTACTACTTCTGGAGCTGTTCCACTATCCATTTTATTGAACGAGGAAGGATTAAATTGTACGTTTCAAGAAACTCTTAAGCTCTTAAGTATTTTAATCACTATACCGATGTCAACATCTGAAGCAGAACGCTCTTTTTCAATGCTGAAACGGATTAAAACTTTCCTCAGAAACACAATGAAGGAAGAAAGGCTTAGTGCTTTAGGAATGCTGTCTGCAGAAAAACATTTTGTTAGTGGCATTGAAAATTTTAATAATAAGGTAATCGAAAACTTTGCTACCAAAAAAGAAAGAAGAATGGACTTCATGTATAGAAAACTTTGAAGTTATAGGTACTTCTCCACACTTGTTTTATAATTTGGTGCGCGTGTGTAAATAGTTTTATTTTTGATTTTTTTTTGGACATATAGATTTATTGAACCTCAAGAACTTTGACCACTAACTATCAGGGGTAAGTTATAAGTTATTCTTTACAATTTTGAATCGATTCAAAATTATGGCTTCCATTCTGGCACTACCTCACTGAATTGGCACGAGCCGCCACTGATATTATGTGAGAGAAAATCTTTTAAAACTCAAGTATCGTGTATTACTTCTGTATGGAACTCTACTATATAAAGTTTTAAAATATAAATTACCCAGATATCTGTTTATTGCTTTGGAGAAGAGATGTTCACTCCGTAAAGTTTCCTTACGCAACAATGAATACTTCAATATTCCAGTTCATACAACATCTAAATTCAAAAAATGTTGTACTTACACGGCACCATGTCTACTAAAGGATCATTTAGAACTTTTTGAAGCACCTTCCATCCAAAACTTCAGAAATGAGATGGAAAAAGTGCTACTACAGCTGCAAAGATTTGAATTCACAAATTAAATTTATGGCGCTTGCTACACTACCCTCCATTAACACTCAGACTATATCGTATTATATACTGTGTTGTGCATAATATTTGTTGTGAATACTAATCATTCTGTTGATGTTAAAAAACGCTCATGAAGTTAACTTTTTAGGGGGAGGTGAAAAATGGCCCTGCCAATCCTCTTTCCTTTTGGAATGTTGTCGTTTTTATATTTTTATGTATAAACATTCCAATAAAAATTATTATTAATATTATTATTATTATTATTATTATTATTATTATTTATTATTATTATTATTATTATTTATTATTATTATATATGTAATAGTATGTATGTACATACATATATGTTATCATATCACTAATAAATGAAGAACTGTGCAGTTCCTATATTTATTAGTTATCTTTTAGGCGGTCACCTCCAATTAAGCGGACAAAAAAGCTGGAACCATAGCTGCTCGCTTATGAGAGCTTTCACTGTATATCTATTAGCTGTGCCCGATGGGTTATTTTTATGTTGTCCTTTCCGGAGACAGCTTATGTTCAAAGTTATCAATTACGATTTTTTACCTTTTTTCAAGTGTTTCTCCCCCCCTGGATCCGTGCCTGTTCGGGCAATCACGAAAGAGAGCTTTGACGGCTTAATAGTTCTTTTACTAACAACTCATAATACTACTTTGCTAGTTGAGTTGCCAGATAGAAGCAGGTAATAAACAAATTATGTATCCCTTATATCATTTCATATACGAAGTGATTCGTGTAGAGTAAATAGTACCTTTCTCCGCAGGTGGTCGCAGGTTGCGTGGTTTCTGCCACGGAACCACCACCGTGATCTGTGGCATGTCGCATGCCGCCATATAACCAGACACACAAAAGGATTCCCCTCGCTCGTTTCATTTCAATTGCCGGTAGCCCCTCTACAATGCCCCCCTGCCCTCGGCTCCTACAGCCTCTCCACCGTAAGTATGACACTATAGGAACATCTTTCTCATTAGTCGGGGTAATAAAGTACATAAATTTCTTACGAGTAACCTGATACGATCATATTCAGAAAGTAACAGAGAGCTTCTGTGGTGCAAAGCGAACAAGTCAGTTCGTTTAGTGAGAAGTTCGAAAAATCGCAATGAACGTGGATTCAGGATCTACAGGGTGTCCCGAAAAAAGTGTGCAATATTCTAGTAGCGGTTTCTAGAGCTTAAAATAAGAAGAAAAGTTTATATAAACATAGGTCGACAAATGTCCCCTAAGGGCGCTACGGTCTTTTAAAGGGGCTCCCTTGAAGATGGTTTTTCGTTAATATTTCCGAAACGTGTTAAAATTTGGTATTCTAGCCTGTTTTTTTATGCAGGATTTAAAAATATTAACAATTTTAGACAGTTTTGTTTGGAAGCGTATTTAACAGGGACGGACTCAGGTTATTTTAGCCCCAAAATTTTTGTGTGATTCTATTTTTGAAATTCAATTTCAGAATTTGAAAATTAAGGGTTTTCTACATAATAATGGTACTCTTATTGAATATCGATAAATTGTTTGTTTGAAGAAAATCAAACTAAAAAATTTGTGACATGATAGGAAATGTACTGCGAATTTAAATGAATTGTTGATTATACATAGCTAGCCATGACTGCAAACAAAAGTTGTTATGATTTGTTACGACTTATTTTAACGTTAAGCTGACATTGTTAGCAGTGAAAAATTACTAGCTTGAAATCAAAATTTTTATTAAATCGATTTAAAATGCCAAGATTTACAGACAGAGAACTGTCTGACATGCATTTTGTGTACAGGTTTTGCAATGACAGTTCATTGGCAGCCGTAAGAGAATATCAAAGAAGACTTCCCAATCGCATAGTACCTGGACGTCGAATGTTTACTGATATTCACCGGAATTTATCAAACCATGGAAGTTTTCAGCGCATGCAGGGCTCAGGAAGGCCACTGGGAAATCATCGTATGGATATTGCTTTAAATATGTTTGAAAATAATCCGCAAATGAGCGTACGAAATATTTCAGAAATTATGAATATACCTCGATCAATAGTAAGCAAAATGAATGACTATCTATTTGATAGTTATCCTAAAAATAATAATTTTAGATAGGAAGAATAACAAGAATGCAAGGATTACATCCTTATCATTTTAAACGGGTGCAGCATTTAACGGAGGTAGATTTTTTACCACGAATCGACTTTTGCCAGTGGATATTAGCAAATGAAAACACTATTCCTAGAATATTATGGCGGATGAGTCAATATTTACTAGGAATTGTGCTTTTAATTTCCATAACATGCATCACTGGTCAGATGAAAATCCAAAGCTTGTTCGCCGTACAAATTTCCAACATAGATTTTCATTGAGTAGTAGGGCAGGAGTAATTGGGGATCAAGTAATTGGGCCTATTGTACTTCTCAATCGTCTTAATTCAGAGGTGTATCTGAACTTTCTTCAGAATGAGCTCATGGATATAATACCATTGGATGTGCGCCAGCAGTTTCAAGAAAATATGTTTTTTCAACATGATGGCGCCACTGCACATTTTGGACGCAATGTTCGAAATTGGTTGTCTATTTCCCTGACAGATGGTTTCTAGGATTTCTATTTTTGGGTGTCATTAAAAGACCTAGTTTACTCGACTGAAGTAAATATTCAAGAAGATTTACTTCAAAGAATCCACCTTTAATAATGTGTGGATGCACCCTGAAGTGCTACGCATTCTCCAACGCGCCTAGGCATGCTTCTGATCAGGTGGTCAATGTCCTCCTGTGGTATCTCATTCCAGGCATCCACCAACTCCTCTCGAAGTGCTTCTAGAGTCTGAGGAGGACGTTGAAAATTGAGCAATCTCCTACCCATCATATCCCACACGTGCTCAATTGGGGATAAGTCGGGAGATCTTGGTGGCCATGGTAACAATGTGACATCACTATGTTGAAAGAAGTCTATTGTGACTCTTGCAACATGTGGTCGGGCATTATCTTGTTGGAAAGTTGGATCTGCCAGGGTCTCAAGATAGGGTAAAAGATGGGGTTCTAGAACTTCGTGGATATAACGCTGCACGCTCATGTTACCTCTGATGAAGATTAAAGGTGACCTGGAACCATAAGCTATAGCACCCCAAACCATAACTCCAACAGTGTGATGAACATGTCCTTCAACAAAAAACTGTGGATTCCTCCTTTCACCACGTCGCCTTTTAACCCTGGCACGACCATCGTGCATGCCTAAACAAAATCGAGACTCGTCACTAAAGACAATACTGTTCCATTCCTGATCCCAGAGTGACCGTTGTCTGCACCACTCAAGGCGATTACGTCGGTGTTCTAGAGTTAAAGGGAGGAAGGACCCAGTGTGGCCGGTATGAAAACAAGCCAAAACTTCTCATTCGTCGGTAAACACTTCGCATGCCAATAGGTCTTCCGTGTTCTGCAAACCATTCATTTGCAATGGACCTGGTAGTGGAGAAACGGTCCCTCAAGGCCAATAATCTTAGGCGGCGATCTTCACGGTCTGTTGTTCTACGGCGGCGTCCAGTGCCCCTTGCTCTTTGCGTACGGCCTTCTCGAAGCCATACCTGACAACACCTAACCACAGTGTCTACACTTCTTTGCACTCTAACTGCAATTGCCCGAAAAGAAAGTCCAGCTTCCCGAACTCCCACTATCAAACTCACTAAGTTGACGAAATCGTACAGGTCTCCGTACTCTAGGCATCGTAACCGATCGTAGAAGATGTCAAGAACCAAAATCCGCCAACGGTAATTCTTTACTGCGGCTGAAATATTCATTTTTAGAGCGTTAGTGAATTAAAAAAAAGCAGTATAAAAACCGGAATGTCCAACTGATAATGCTGAACATTTTTTCACTTGTTATTTACAGTAAGATAAATACATTCACCGACTTTTATTAAAATAAAACCATTTAAACTGGGTGTTCGGATTTATATGTCACTTAGTACACGTTCACGCACAATATCTGCCAAAAACTGACTGCACATTCAAAATGACCGATATTGTCAACATTAGTGTGGGTCACGAGTACCAACATAACGCCACAAAAAGATCGAAAATCGAACATACGTAGCGCGTGAAAATTGAAAATTTGCCATACATTTGAACAACCATCGTATTGTGTCGTGTATAAGTTTTGCTTTGAAGCGGGTCCTTAGGATTAAATCGGATAAAGGAACTGATTGATAAATACCATTAATGCGGCTTATGGCGCCTGACACAGGTAAAAGGCCTTAATGGGAGATTAGCCTTACCTATTTAGTCTAAATCTGTACGAGCACCAACACCGCTAGTCGGTATTTTTAGATCATCAAAAGACGTTCGTTCGTATCTCTGGACGGGTGCCACCACATTCATTACTAGGTTCACCTACGGAAATGTATCGACGT